TACTAATCAATTGGTGTTTTAAATACAAATTTAGTTACATATTCATAACTAAAATTAATTCATCATTAATATAAATTAGTATGTGACAATAATAAATTATTAATTATTTTTATGAATAATATAAATGAATTGTCGTTACGACACGTCACCAAGTTACAAATCAATGTTATTGAATTATGAAACTATAGACAATTCAAAAGTTTAAATTAACAATATAAATATAACAAATTTATTATAATTAACCTTATTGAATACAATCAAATTAATATAACTATTTCAACACTTAATATATGTTGATATTGATGCCAAATTACTGGGAAAAAAACAAAAAAAAAATCTATTGGTAAATTTATGTTAATGTTGTGTTTTGACAAAGAAAAGCACGTCAACTTCAAAAAAAGGGAAAACAACATCGGAATACAATCTTACAACATGTGTTGATAATGCATGAAAAATTAATTTTCTGACGTAGATGAAAATTGAGTATTTAACTTTTTCTGCTAAAATATGAGAGATTATTTCCCTATACTTTACCACGTGTGATTACACCCTAAAACTTGGTCTCAAGTAGGAATTTGGTCGCGTGTGTAAATGAGTTTGTTTGAAGTATATATAATCCATAATGAAAGTTTAAATAATTGAAAACCTAACAAAAAAAATATTAATGTCAATGGAAAAATCTTGAAATAGTTAAAATTTAACGTAATTATCAATCACGTATAAATACTTATTGTCAACGGAGTTTAAATTCAATTTTTTTTAATCATATCTTGTAATCACAAAATATCAAAACTTTTGTAAAACCCAAAATTTTAAATATATAAATAATATTACATGAGCTTTTGCATGTTTTTTTTATTAAATTCGTTTGAAGTGTTAAAATATTTATGTAATTAATTAAAGGAAATAATTGTAGAAATCTAAAATAGAAAATAATAATGAAAAGAAAGGCAAAAACGAAAAATAAAATAAAATTGGTTTTTTTATTTTACTGGACCAAAAATATAAATTACCACGTCAGAAGGGGTCTGATTGTAAATGTTAGAAAGTTCAGGTGGCCAAACGTCATCTTTTTCAAATATTAGGGGATTGTTTTGCCAATAGTACATGCTTGTTTGTAGAAAACAACCTTACAACCTAAAACTCGCGATTTGGCCGATTTCTTCAACTGTCTTAGGATTGTTTTCATTCAAATAGATAGTAAAAACGTTGAGTTTTGAGAGAGAAATATGAGTCTGAAGTTTGGAATAAAAAATCTCGGGTTTTCACTGATTTCAGTGAGATTCTTAACCAAATCTCTTAATTTTTATGTCAATGGTTTTAAGTACTCTATCAAACCCCAGTAACCTCATATCTCATATTCGGGTTTATATAGTTCGATTTTATGTTTTCTAAGTTGTGAAGTTTTATTTTTAAAAACTGACTTTTAATCAAATTTTGGAACTCATTTCTTGATGAAACTTCATGTTCTTTATGTCAAAGTGTTGGTAAAAATATTACTAAGGGTTTGGTGCAAAAAGAATGAAGAAAAAAGATCAAAAAATAAGCTATTTTCAAGCTCAAAAAGCTTGAAAATGTGCAACAATGGCTGTTTTTTTCGTGGGTTGCAATAGGGTTCGGGTCGGGCTGGGCAGGTCAAGGATCTGATCCGCGTACATTTACCTATTAAGAACAAAGAGGATCGATCGATGGTACTGATAATAATACTCAAACTCGTGACCTCAAGTTACCAACACCAATGCCTTAACCAACCAGGCTAACACGTTATTTGTATTTTATAACACGACATAATCTTCTTATTCTATAATAAAACATTTACAAGTTTTAATAAATATCATTATAACCCTTGGAATTCCAAAAATATAATTTTCTCCATACGATTTTCTAAAATTTTCATCAAATTTTATTTGGATTTTGTAAAATGCTAATCCTTACCTAATCTCGATTATTTATCTTGTTTAATTACCAAAATGACCCTATACAAGGAAATCGGTTTTTAGCAATAATTCACACATTTGCTTTCTAAAATTTACCGAAATAACCCTATATATTGGAGAATGGTATATAAACTTCATTTTTATAGTATTATCTTTATAATATTAACAAAATGTCCCTATGTTTGGAAATTCTAGGGATAGGTGATTGGAAAAGGAAGAGCCGTAAGATCCGAGAATGCCAGTGATAATATGACCTTTACCCGATGGGATAGTTTACGATATCTTGAATTTATTTAGAGGGGTTTTTGAAACATATATGCATATTATTTGGGTATTTTGATTGTTATATTGATTATGGGATATTGTATGATTTGTGCATGAAAATCATGAACGTACTGAGCTATTTAAAGTTGACTATTAGTATGCATCTCAGGATTATGAGGTTCAAAGGTGGATAAGAGCAAGGGTTTGTCTTAGTGACAGGGCCGGCCCTGAGATTTTGGATGCCCACGGCGGAAAGTCAAAAAAATGCCCCTTATATGTGTAAATAAAAACCAAAATAAACTATTTGAAGGGTTTTGGAACCTAGTCAATCAAACAAAAAATGTCCCTTAAATATAACAAAAATGATGCAATTGGGGGACATAAACAAAAACCCGTGTAACAAAAATGGTCCTTCATGGTTCGTGTTGTGAAATTGCCAAGAAAGTGAAACGATTAAGCAACATAGACAAACTGATAAAAGAGAAAAACATAAGCATCAATCTTAGGCCTTTCACAGCTTCTATACTAATACTAACAGCCCTAAAACAAATTGCCCTATACTAATACTAACCCTCTTCTAAACAGCCCTAAAATTAACAAA